GAACCGCTCACACTGTTTTCTCCTCCACTAAATAAAGTCCACAGCTAGCCCACATGGCAGTGACAGCATTAAACATTCATACGTCAGGGGTCTGAGCCACAGAGGCTCATGTTTAAAAATCTCCTTGTACGTGTATAGCAAGTAAATTTTGGAGCCAAGAATGAAATTTTAGAATTGCACTGAGCAGCATTTCTCTCATGCTCACTCCCTGCTGACATAATATGGGTTTCTCCTCTCTCCTGGGCCAGATAGAGATTCACTTTATAAACCTGTGTTAAATACTGGCTACATGTCTGTACACTGCCAGCACAGTGAAAATGCAAAAATAAATTTTCTTCAAAGGACTTATAGTTTAATATACAAGGCATGGGGCCCCATCCACCTCCTGAGAATGTCACTGTTTTGGGGGGCAATGACACTGGAAAATCTTTTTAAATGTAAATACTTATATGGAAGTTGTGCAGGGGAAGATGTGGCAGAAGACAGTATTTCATCCTCCTTACATTATGTGGATGTCAGAGCCCTAAAAACAGCATAGCTATCTTTAAAGGAACAAGCACCAGGAGAAATAAAGATATTTAAAGAAATCAATATCCATTTGGCATAAAGGACAAGTTTCTACAGTTCAGGAATACATGGCTTTTCTGAGCTCAGAAAAACCGGGCAACCAGGCATCACGATTCCAAGAAAAAAAACCCATTTCACAACTCAGAGAGGCGTATTACAAGAGTTGCTATCTGCTACTCTCTTTTGTGGCGTCGCAAAGATGCAGAATAAATTGCGTTATATGACAGGAAACATATGTGAGGCCACATCACAGCCTCCCCTGGTTGGGGGCACCTAACTACTATCTCTGGATGCAGACATCAGACTACGCAGACTGGTGACAATGCAGACACCTTCTAGACAGCTGGGGCTGACAAGTGGCTGCTGAGAACACACCTTTTTTGTTGTTTTTTTGTGGAAATGTTTAAATAAGGTACAGACTAATAAAAAAAAATACCCCTTGGGGCTCATGCATGGTTTTAGAATGAAACATAACTGTTCAAATAATCTTATTTTGCATTGAATTTGCATATGTGGTAATCAGGTCAAATGAATATTAGCTACAAGAATAAGCAGAGTCAAACTTATCACAGAATTTGGAAAAAAACAGTTCTTGCAAAATTTGGGCTGCAAAGCTATCCTGTTAAATAATAAAATAACATTAAGAAAATGTTAGGTAAAAACAAGTAAATAAAGATATTGGTCATTTTAGAATTACTAGGAAGCTAATTCTCGTCCATCTACCACCCAAAATATATTACTGAGTATGTACTGGGTCAAGAAAACGAACCAAATTGGGAATTCACATGATGATTTTATTTTAAACATTGTGATTTAGTTTTAAAATGGTGATCTTATTGAAGAAATTTCTCTTTTAGGAAATTCCCGTGTTGAAAAACTTCATGTAACTATCAACACAGCTACACTAACGCAAGCATATGGTTTCATGGATACAGTTTAAACCTTATCGAACCATACGTTTGAAACAAGTTCCTCTGATTGTATGTTGATTATACCTCAATAAACCTGCAAAAACCACCTCTGTAGGTATCTACAAAGTTGCACTAAACGTGAGACAGCACAGTGGGCACACAGCACTATTTAAAGGATAGCCTTTCCGGGAGAGGCAGGTATTACTGCCTCCATAAAATCTAAAAAGCATTTATTCAGACAGCCTTTCCCTTAGAAGTAGAACTTTCTAAAGCAGCTGTGATAAAAGGGGAATGCTCCTAAGAGATTGGTCAAATCAGGGACAGCTGTAAGTTTGGTGCATAATGACAACGAAGCTATTGCTGCAGTTGCTGTAAAGCCGGAAATCCTGCAAACTCTTCTAAACTTCGGCGGACAATGCTGGGTAGAAATCAGAGACTGGGCTGGAGAAGATGCTCTTCCTACTAAACGCAGATATAGCAAATGGAAAACGTAGCTCTTTATGAAAACCTTACCTTCCTTAATCCCAGCCCCAAATATATTGACCATTCGACAGTTGTGGGAAGAAAATTTCCTCTTCAAATGTGGAAATTTAATGTGTTACCTTCCACGGCTTTCCGTTGAAGAGATTAGGTAAATGTTTGGACAGCCTCTCTTTTGAGTTAATTTCCGCAAGTTCTTTTAGGTCAGAACAGACCAGCAAAAAGTATGTTTAAATTAAGTGTCGTTCTAACAGGAGAAAACATATGGTTGAAAAGAATTGTCTGCTCTCTCCCTTTTGAATTTTTAAATATCATAAGCCAAACACCGGATAGGCCAGTGTAACCAAGCGGGATACACCTGTAAACAGTTAATAAGTCTGTTTGAAGTTTTGAACAGATGATAAAATAGAGCAGGAGAAAGAATGAGAGTACCAGGAGGAAAACAAACCCACTCGTTGCTGAGTTGTTGCCCACACATATATAAAAATAAAAATAATAGATAGCATGTGATTTGAAATACATATTTAAAAAAAAGGCACAAAAATATGCACTTTGTTCTAAACAGTTTGCAGAGAATGTCAGGGTCCCCCTGCCAAGCTCCGTGTGGTGACACAGTGACATGCCTGCAGATGGTCGCCCCATGGAGGCCGAGTAAGAGAGCTTACCGGCAATGCCAGGACTTGATGGCTTTCAGGGAGGGGCACATGAGCATTTGGGCAGATTTGGGGCAGTGGTTCTCGGAAGGGGGCGTCTTTCAGGAGGCGGTGAAGATAGAATGGCCCCTCCTTACATAGACACGGTCCAAGAGGCTCAACATCCCACAATTCAAATTTTATAGCAAATTCTTTTAGTCTATAAAACTGGTGTGCATACAAATGGTTTTATTAAAAACAAACAAACAAACAAACAAAAACGAGTATCTCGCTACTTAATCCTGGCATGTGACAAGATGAGAGGATATGAGTCTACTGCAGTGTTACATGAATGACACAGTCACTTCGATGTGGTGTGACTCAGATGTAGTGCGTAGTGTGAAGTGTGCATCCCCGCCACCAAAGGGCACTTTCCCCGGGATAACGTGTGGGGGCGAAGTAAACACGGAAATGACACCTACCTAATGAATTTTAAGATGATTTGGGGTAAGGGCTACTCTCAGCAGAAAAACACAGCTCAGGTTCCTTGAAGAACTGGTTTTTAACTTGGCTTCGTCTTGGCCACTATTAATAATAATAGAATAACCCATTGCTACACCATCTGGGATGGTGAATTATCCAAGTTTTTTTTTTTTTTTTGTCGCCTGTCTTCATATCCTGGGCAAGTTGATTCCATCACGGGAGGAAATGTGAGATGAAATGCAAGTCAAGTAATTTTCAACCTTAGATGGACCTTGGTGGAAAACTGATACTGCTATTAGCAAGGGTGTCAAGTGTTTATTATCTATGGGCGGTGTGCTCAATTTTGCTGCGTCCATTTGTTTTTAACCTGTATAATACGGACAATAATGTCTATTATAGAATTTGGGGGAGAAGGAATATAGGTAATATTTTTAAAATGCAGTCCCTGGCACATTATAGAAATATAGAAGTGGACCCTGTTACTAGTATTGCTATTACTTTCAGAGCTCACCACGGCGGGCCCTTTTCTGATTTTCATTGGTGGTTGAAAGCGGCCCCACGAACAACTCGACACGTTGCTTGAGAAGCAGGGTAGTTTGCAACTGCACGTAATGAGTTGAAGAATAAGGCTCTCGCACCCCCAGAAGCAGAGCCAGAGAGCTGAGCCCGGTCGGCAGCCCTGGGAAAGGTGACAGCTAGGACCGTTGGTAAGAAAAGACTGCTATTTTGAGGAGTTGTGATATGCATGAGGCGGATAAAACTAAGAGGATTATTCAAAGGTCTGCCGATCGTCCCCCCACTCTCATCTCTAGGAAAGAATACCAGGAGTGATCCATCTGCTGAAGCTGGTAATTCATTCAATGTTAAAGTCCAAGATTTCAATAATAAAAAAAAAAAGCTTCAAAACATGTACCATTTGTCCTCCCACCCTGTCCCGGGCTCCTGGGCCCCAGATAAGCAGTCATTTACTTCCTGTTACAATAGTTCAGGTGCAATTTCCTAGAATTGTATAAACATGGAGTCATACGGTATGTACTTTTGGGAGAAAGTCATCTGCTTTCTCCCTACGCAGAGTCAACTGCTGCCAGGTGCTTGAAGTCCCACTGCCAGCACCTTGTCACTTGTCCTGAACCTCTGGTATGCCGCAAGTCCCTCTGAGGACCTGAGAGATCTGTGAGCCATCTTTCTGGCAAAACAAAACAACGCATTAATCTACTTTCCCACGAAATGCTGCATATAATTACTTTCAGGGCCCGCGGAGGAGAGAATCGGCCTTTTCTTAAAGCTTGGAGAGCTGTGCACTGTACCATCGGATGAAGCCTCCATGATTTATCACATCAGAGCTGAAAAGGCAAGGCGGGCCCAAGACCCTGGCGAGCTGCAGCGAGAACAGGCTACATATCGCTCCTGAGATACTCTCTTTCTCTTCCTTTTTAGGGGGCGTTAGAGTGATGGCACCAATTTACTTCTATTTTTAATAGAAAGGCTGTCTTTTTCTTTCATTTCTGTACCTGGTTTTTGAGTGTGTGTTTTTTGAAGGTGAGGGATAGTATTGGGTTATTGGAAAAGTCATGATGTATTTTTTTCTATGTTTTTTATTGCAAAATTGCGTCATGACTTTTCTGACAACCCAATATATTAATGAAATATTAATGAATGTATATAGGTATATATATATATATATATATATATATGTATGTGTGTGTGTATGTGTATAAACTATACATTTTAATAAATAAATTATTATTTATATCTATAAACTATAAGGGTGAGCTTATAGTTGAAGATAGAAACTATCTTGGAAGGTGATGTCCGTATCTACATGCAAAACCACCCATCAGATTAAAACGCTGTTTGACATGTCTCAAAATATTTCATTTTCTGCCTAGATGACAGTGTTTGTTTGTTTTTTCTCTCTTCCCTTTAGCAATAAATGCTGCAACGTTGTTTATCGAAGGAACAAACATGAAAGAAGATACATTGCTGTGAAGAGCAGACAGACAGGCCTCCTGGCAGACAACTACTCGAGGGCGATTTCCTAAAGCCCAGATTCAGGGAAAAAAAATATGGAAGCGACTCAGCGCTTGAGAAAGTGCCAAAGCCAGCTTTGATCTCAATTATGGGAAGTAATTATCGGCAAGTACGTGTTTGCATTTCGGGTTCAAAAGAGTTCCATCGTGGCATGTTTCCTAAAGAGCTGAGGCAAGAGCAAATGGATGGCTTTGTAACTATGACTCTGAAAGAATTGTCTCTTTTTTTAAAGCACCTGAGAAGATTGTTAAGACTGACCTGTCACAGACGATGTGGTTCCCAGCCCCGTGTCCCCTGGAAGGCGGAGGTATGGGGCCCAGCTCCAGCTCTGGGAGACCACTAGTGGTGTGAGTGACCTCGGGTGGGTTCATTTACCTCTCTGGCCTCAGTTTGGCTTCTCAGACAGTGCATGGGGGTCAAGGTTATCTCTGAGATACATTCTCCTGGGTTCCTATTAACTAAGCAACACTCACGGGAATCAGCAAACATATGCTAACTCTTAGCCTGGATGGAAACATTGGGCTGTTGGGAAAGTCATGACGCATTTTTGCAAAGAGAAACATAGAAAAAATACGTCATGACTTTTCTGACAACGAATAGTGAGGCATTAAATAGAACCTTAGGCCGGTTCGTTCAGTGGACATTGCTGGATTTCAGCATATAAAACCCACAAACAATCAAATTTCGGTCAACTTTTAGGGTTTGCGTAAACACTATACATTTGTAGACGTCTAAGAACTTCTTTCAGGCAGAAATGTTATTGATGCTTTCATAGTCTTTTGCCTGATCAAATGGCATTAAACTCAGTGAAGGAATTATTCCATACTGTCTAGGCCAACATTTTTGAGCTAATGGAAAAACATCTCAGAGCAGCAAAAGGGAGGAAGAGGGAGGGAGAGAGGGAGAGAGTGAGAACACGAAGAAAAAAATACCTCCAGCAGATACTGCAGAGCAACTGAGAGAGGAAAAACAAAACAAAACAGCCCATGAAGGAGCCAATAGCTTCGACGACTAACATATTTTGATTGCTGGGTTAAAATGGTATGAGACTTGTGCTCAGACCGCAACTGTCAAAAACATCTTTTTTTTTTTTTTTTGAGAAAATATGTACCGTGTCCAGATGATCTGGGGATGAATATCCCTGGCCCTACCCCATTGCATTTTCCAGTTCCTTTCCTGTTCTTTGCAGCCCACGGGGAAAGGCAGGCCCTTGAGCACGCAGGGGAGGGGAGGGGAGGGTGTTCACTCCTTGTGTGTCCTTGGGCTAAAAGGGTGAGTCGAGTCACTTGCCACCCAGAGTCCCTGTAGCTTGAAGGTGGAGGGACATGTCCTCTAGTCCCGCCTTCTACCACTATGAAGCTTTTAAGTTACCATCATTGCAGTTTTTCTGTATATGAGTCTCAATTGTGCCACTACTTAGCAAACGTTTTTCTTTAAATGGCTCTTTTTTTTTATCCAAACCAGTTTAGTTTAACAAAAATAGAATTTGAACATAAATATGTGTATAATATAAGCAATGTGGTATTATTTAATCCCCAAAAACTGCAGCCGGATCCCTGTCCTCTCTGTGTTAATGAAGAAGTTTACGAGGATGACAGCCTTTTAATTTGGAACTGAGACATCTCACCTTGACATAATAAGAAGGAATGAAAGATAATTGAGAAGGAAGAATTTTCTTACTGTATGACTCAAGGTTACTTAATGCTTTGTCTATGAATCATTAATACTCTTTCCATACAAAACTGGGGTAAAAACACAATGGAAATAGGGTATTTTTCGCTGAGGTCATGCAAAGTAAAACAGAAAAAGTCCATTTATTCTACAAGACTCATAAGTTTTCGGTTGATTCATTTGAAAGCAATCTAGTCTTTCCTCTTCACAGTATTTACTCTGGCTTGTGCACTAAACACCTTAAGAAGATTTAAAAAAAATAAAAACAGAAAGTCGTCATCCTTGATGCAAAACCTTGTGATTTGTTTGTAGAGAGAAAGCAGCCACATACCAATAGCGATCAAAGCAAACATTTGTTGGAATGTCAGCTAACACAGCAATAGCTTCCCTCTGCCTTTCTGCTAATAATCATACCCTCAGCATCTGCTATGGGCCAGGCACGATGTCACGTGCCTTCCAAACATTATCTTATTCACTCTTCCTGCCAGTCCAACGAGGTAGGCACTTCGTTATTCCTACTTATGGATGAGGAAACTGCAGTTCAAAGAGGAAACTAAAGACGCCCTAGGTAACATCACTGGCAATGGAGGGATGGGGCCCAAACTCAGTTCTCTACATTGTTCATTGCACAGAAATAAGGAAAGGGTTTAGCCAGGAAAACTTAGCTATCGATCGTGCTTTTCATTTTCTTTCTGGTTCCTGCCTGCTGCAGTTTCTTCCATATAGAAAGGGCTGCACATTTCAGATCCTTAACGTTTGGGTGCAGTTTTAATCCCTGTCAGCTGCCAGAACTGTCAGAAGAGCGCCTCTGGAGCCCAAGCTCCACTGCAGAGTCTAAGGGCACGTGGACCAATGCAGCATCCGGGGCTGGGAAGGTTATCAGAGAGGATTGCTTAAAAACCCTTTAATCCGCCTTATCTGGAACCCAGGCTCTGCAGGCAGCTCAGGAGCTTAGTTTTAAAAACAAAACAATGGCCCCCATGCTAAACCATTTCCCAGCCTCTGTGTGTGTGTGTGTGTGTGTGTGTGTGTGTGTGTGTGTGTGTTGTGTGTGTGTGTATGTGTGGGGGGGTGCTCATAAGCCTGTCCATTCTTAGCCATTACCATGGGGACAGAGGGTAGGCTGTGTTTTTCCAAAACCTCAAGCTCGCACTGATGTGTGACTATAAACTGAAAGCCAAATTTAAGTTAAAATCATGCACTAAGGTACGATGCAGCGAATGTTATCAAATGACCCACCTACACAGCTCGAGAGAAAGTGTACAAGTAAATTGTGGGGGAGCATGCACACATTTGGAGGGCATTATGTGAAGCTAAATCCCCACCCGTGAGTGGGCAGTGGGCACTGTGCTGTCACGTTTTAGGGGCTTCAGCACATGCTGTCTGGAGTTTGGCCAGAAGAGGAGGGGCCATGCTGCCAGCAGACTGAATTACTCCTGGACCCAGTCTAGGCATAACCTCCTGTTCTTTGTATTCTTTCCTCCAATCCAGTCCAACTCCCTAAATTCACATCCTTTAGCAATCCATGTATTCAACAGCAATTACAAGCCATATTAAGATGGATTGCTAGTGAATATTAATATTTGTTGTTTATCAGGCAGCCTAACCTGTTCCCTAGGCTAATTTATAGCCAGGAAAAATTAATCACTTTTAGAAATTAAAGTACAAACAAATTACAATTATTTGCATTGAAAGAATATATTTGTTAAGACAAAGGAGCCAAGAACATACAACGGGGAAGGACAGTCTCTTCAAGAAATGATGTTGGGACAGCTGGACAGATACATGCACAAGAATGAAACTGAGCCTGTCTTACACTACACAGAAAATTAACTCAAATTGAATTAAAGACTTGAACATAAGACCTGAACCCATGAGACCCCTAGAAGAACACATGACTTTTTGGATCTGACCTTAAAAGCAAAGGCCACAAAAACAATAAAAAGCAAGTGGCGCTACATCAAAGTAAAACACTTTTGCAGAGCAAGGGAACCATCAATAAATGAAAGGGCAGCCTACTGAATGGGAGAAGATATTTGCAAAGCATATATCTGATAAGGGGTTAAATATCCAAAATACATAAAAGACTCATACGACTCAAAACAACAACAACAAAACAATCCAATTTTAAAATGGACACAGGATTTTAATAGGCATTTTTCCAAAGAAGAGATTCAAATGGCCAACAGGTACATGAAAAGGTGTTCAACATCACTAATCACCAGGGAAATGCAAGTCAAAACCACGATGAGATACCACCTCACACCTGTCAGAATGGTTGCTATCAAAAGGACAACAAACAACAAGCGCTGACAAGGATGTGGAAAAAAGGGAACCCTCATGCGCTGTTGGTGGGATTGCAGATTGGTGCAGTCACTATGAAAACAGTATGGAGGTTCCTCAAGAAATTAAAACTAGAACTACCTTATGATCCAGCAATTGCACTTCTAGGTATTCATTAGAAGAAAAAGAACACACTAACTCAAAAAGACACATGTGCTTCATATTCATTGCAGCGTGATTTACAATAGCCAAGACATTAATCAGCCATAAAAAAAGAAGGAAATCCCTCCATTTGCAACAACATGGATGGACCCCGAGGGCATTATACGCAGTGAGATAAGTCAGACAGAGAAAGACAAATACTGTATGATCTCACTTATATGTGGAATCTTAAAAAACAAACAAAACAACCAAGTTTATAGATAGAGGTGGTAGCTGAGGGCGGATGAAACGGGTGCAACAGGGCAATAAGTGCAAACTTTCAGTTATGAGATAAATAGGTCATGTGTGAATAATTCACAGTACGGTGAGTACAGCTAATAATACTGTATTGTATATTGGAAAGTTGCTAAGACAGTAGACCTTAAAAGCTCTCATCACAAGACAAAAAATTTGTAACTATGTGCAGTGATAAATGTCAACTAGATTTAGGGTGATCATGTCACAATATGTACAAATATCGAATCACGATGTTGTACACGTGAAACTAATTTGTATGTCAATTATATCTCAATTTTAAAAACAGAATGTGTCTGTTTATTTTTTTGAGTGGCTTACATGACGTCACTGGAGCTGCAACACACTTTTGGGACAACTAGAATATTCCTGCAGCTGCTGTGCTTACCAAAAAGCTGGCTGGGGACATCAGCAGCGGAGGATGTCATATGAGGATGACGTGGCTGGGATATGTAAGCCTTAAGGACTTGCTTTACATGCTCATGTCTCTATGTAACATATTTTTATAATTATTATCAAAAGTCATTTACAGTGACTGGGCCATTGATTGGCATAGGTCAGTAGCACGATGTCAGGCACAGAGAGGACCTGTCTCTCATATGATCAGCTCCCCTACAGAAAGTCAGAGCCAGCACCTAAGACTGTCACTATTGAGAGACGGCTGGAGAGCATCAGTGACCGCAGGGACACCAAGAAATGCAAAAGGAAAATGGTGGTGGCCGACAACATACCGTCCTGCTGGAAGTCTGACGGGAGAAGCTGCTTGTGGAGATCCCGCACCTGCTTTCAGGGACAGAGAGAGGACACAGACATTGGACACTTATCTCTGCTGTCAACGATGCTCAGACTCCCCCCTCCTCCCAGGAAAACTCAGCTCTGTGATGACAGCACACAAGACCCTAAAGGCGACTCACGGACATGACCTTGAAGACAGTCACACTTTCCATTTGCTTTCGTTTCAGAAAGAGCCCCGGTAACAATTAGCCTTCACCTTTGATAAGTGTT